GGGACACAGATGAGCAGGAGGAGCAGGAAGAGTCCTCACTCAAGAACAGGGAGACGGACACCCAGGGGAAAGAGACATGGAGTGGAGGTGAGTAACTTTGGACTGGGGCCTGGGGAGGGGGAGGTGGGAAGATTCCAGGGCTTTGGAGGCCCTCCAGCAGACCTTGCTGGGCTCCAGATCCCAGGGCCTGCTGTTGAGGCTGCCTGCCATGAGGATAAGGATGGGTTGTAAAGGCCTGACTCCTACTGAGGAGGCCAAAATGGATGCTGCGTGAGGAGCCCTTGACCACAGATGAGCATGGTGCCATTCTGGACATGTGTCAGGGTTCTATAAATAACTGCCATTGCACCTTCCTTCTAGTGAGCAACTGCTCCGACATGCTGGCGCTGTGCTGTCCACTGACAGCCCTGGGCCCTGCCCCTCCCAGCTGGCTGAGAGGGACAGACAGAGTGCATACTCCCACCCCTGCCAGGGCCTTCTTCCTGTGCTCACCATGGGCCCAGCCCTCCAGCACAAGACCAGCCTCCCTCAGGCATGCTTTTCGAGGACTTCTGGGTGGTGGACCTCAGGGGAGAGCAGGCCAAATTCCACCCCCTCCCCAGCTGTCCCTTCTCTCCAACCATCCCCTCCCCCAAGGGGCCCAGCCTGACAACCTCTAATCCTCTGTCATCTGACCCAGCTCCACCCTAAATTAGCTCTGCACAGCCACCCTACTGAGGCCCAAAAATGGATAGTGTCATTTATACAGGGTCCTAGAAGCCGAATACAATGGTGAGATGACTTCATGGTACCCAGGGCCTGAGCTCCAGGTATGCACTCTGCACCCTAGGCACTCTGGGGGCAGCTGGGTGCTGGGAGGTGAGCAGAGACGGTACCATAGTAGCAAACCCTGGTGACCCTTCCCATATTTTCTCATGTCCTACTCACACCAGGACCAGAGGCCACAGGACCCTACAACCATAACTCCACACCAGCCAGAGCCATGTGTGTCCTGCTCCCCACTGCTCATGCGCTCAGCCCAGGATCAGGCACAGGACACATGTCCAGGCAGGATCTGCTGAAAAAGGGAAGGCAAAGAAGCACA